GGGGTGTGGGCAGCACTGGGAGGAGCTGGGGAGCTGCTGGGGCTGAGCCTGTGGGGTTCCTGCATCCTTTAGCACCCTCATCCCCTCCACACCCACATCCTCTCCTCTGCCTTGGCCGTGTGCTGAGAACCCCCCCCAGACTCAACTGCTGAGAGTGCTTGGCTCCAGCTCTGCCCCAGGCTGAGGGGACCCCATGGGGACTCCCCTAATGGCCTAGGACTCCCCCTGGCTCTGCTCCCATCCCCTGTGCCTTGAGAGGAGCAAGGGACTCATCCCAGGACCTCCCACGGGGTCATTTTGTGCCCATTTGATGAGGCAGAACCTACAAATGACCGATAAGCGCCCACGGGGGAGGCAGTGAGGCCGGGCAGGATCTGCACTGGGACCCTCCATCCCCATTCCGTGGACCCCTGAAAGATGAAGCAGGCTGGGGGAGGGAGACGCCTGTGCTGGGTTCAAGATCTCCCCTGCAGAGCGGCAGCTCAGTCCCACCTCCAAATGGAACATGAAATAACCCCAAACCTCTTCTCTGAGAGAAGGGAAATGAACCAGGGCCCAGGCTGTTACAGTTTTACTTACAGGGGAAAAGAGCTTTAACACAAAGTCGTGGTCTCCTAATTAGCCATTTGATTTTCCTTAATTACCAGCAGAATAGCAAGGCAGAGACCAGCTCCACACAAAACTCAGTAGAGCTGAGACGCAAGCTCTTCAGTATCAGCTTAATTTTTCACTAATAAATGAAAATGCAGCTCCAGAGGTAAGGGAATACATAAAAACTGGCTGCTCCTCTCTCCAAAAACGGGCTCTGGAGACCCCCAGGCGGTTCTGCCTGCACCAGAGATGCAGTTAATGGGGTTTTCCTGCTTCTCCATCCACATCCCAGCCACGTGCTCTGTGACCAAAGTCACACAAGGACCACCGAAATGTTGCAAACAAACCATTCTGTACAAAATTCAGGGAACTTTTATTTACAAAAGAGCTGTGGGTTCAGCGAGAGCCACGCGGGGCAGGGGGGCTTTGCTCCCTGGCAGTGCTGCTCTCATGTCCCTGCTCCTCGGTAGGAGGAAGCTGCTGCTCTGTAAAACAGATCCGAGGGTGCAGCCCCCATCGGAGGGGGAGCTGACTCGAGGGACAGAGAAGTGCAGGGAAATGCAGTGACTGCCCATGCTGTGTGTCCCAAACAGACCACGGCAAAGGAGTCTGCTCCCCTTTCGCTGGACACTGCGCCTGTTCACCACCCCACCACCCATCACCGCTCCCCAGCCAGACCAGAGTTTAGACCCGCGCACAGCCGCTCAGCGCCGGCACAGACACGGGGGGGCTCTCCCCAACCAGTCCCAGCTGATGCTTTTGGGGAAGCCTCTGCTCCTCTCCCAGCTCTGCCCTGTGAAGGAGGAAGAGCTCTCACCCTCTTTTTTACAGCAAGAAAAGCTGTGGCTCTGTGGGCAGCTGCTGGGCTCCGTGTCACAGGCAGCATTGGGAGGGTGCTTCCCAAGAGCTGGGAGAGGAGTGGAGCTGCTCCCTCTGCCCCAGCTGCCTGCAGGGAAGGGGGCTGCGAGCAGCTCAGGAGTAGCTGAGGGGCATCCTGCGCCACAGGCCCCCGCACAGGCAGTTCTTGATCCAGCGCTGCTCCCACTGCTTGACCGCGGTGACTTTGTTGGGCGACTTCAGCATTGTCACGCAGCCACATCTGCAAAGACACAGAGGCTGCAGCTGGGCCCGGGGGCACAGGGGCCCAGGAAAAAGCCAGCGCTGGATCTGAGGAGGAAACCGGCTTTTGTCATTGGCAGGTGATGTTTGTGAGTGCTAAATCCAGCTGAAACCGCGTGACCAATTACCTCACATGCAGAGGTGATCTCGGAACAGAAGGCTGTCTTCAAGACAACAGCCCCCAGCTGCTATTTATACATAAAACAGCAGACACTCATCTTGTAGAAATGATCTGATACAGGGACTTTCCATTAAAACCAATAATTAAAGCTAATTCAATCGCATGATTAGATGGATGCTCACTCCCTGCTCTATTACTTTGAAACTGAGGCTCTTTTGTGAAGGTGCATGGAGAGGACAGCACAAAAAGACTTAAAACGCAAACCTAGTTTAAAAAATGACCCAAAACTGGCTCCGTGGATACTGTGGTTATTTCCTCTCCAAGAACACAGGCGGTTTTATTTAAAGACCAGACCTGCAAAACAAGCTGGGGATCTCTCATCAACTCCCACACGTCAAATCCTGGTCTCCATTCACCTGTGCAGCCTCACTGGTCACAGATTTTTCCTGCTAAAGCAGTATCATATTTATTCTATGATGCACAACTCAGCCCCGAGATGAAGTGCAGCTCAGTTCTTGGCAGTGACAAATGTAGTTAACTCTCACTGTGCACCAGGCAGAGCAATAGGGTTTGTAATCAAACAACAGCCACGCTGCAATGACGCAGCGGCAGCCACCTCGAGTCGGCAACGCTGCTCCTCAGCAGGTGTTTGAGGGCCTCAAACACCAACACAGCCACTCTCCTGCAGTGCCAGGGGTAGGGGGAGGCACCAAAAACCTGATTGCAGAAACTGCAGACAACTGCAATTAACAGGCCACCACGTTACTGGGATACCAGCAAGGACGGTAACCAGAGACTGAAAGAGCTTTTGCATGACAAAAAGAACGGTTTGGGTTTCTGCCAAGACCCGAGGGATTATGCTTGCCTTGCTTACCTGGTGCAGGACTTGCATTCCTCTGTCGGGTACGCTCCTAAGTGAAGTCGCCTCAGGTGATCGATTTTGGGCTGTCCAGGTGCCCTGCGTGGGAAAGAAGAATGGGAATTTTCCTAGACCACCTCTTCAAAAGTTGTTTCCAGGCCAGAGAGCTGCATTTCAGTAGCCAAAACATCACAGGCTTTGACTGCCCAGTCCACCGAGCGCCATGGGATTTGAGGCCACACTAACATCAACTTAACCACAAACCAGCATTTCCCCCCGCCCCCGCTCCATTTGCCATCTCTTCAATGCTTTAAATTCCCAGTCCGCTGCAAGTTAAGAAGTTCCTGCAGAGAGGACAAACTGCTCCTGGGTCACAGCAGCAAGGGGACCAGCCAAAAATCACAGGCATCCCAAACCCACTGACCTGTGGGAGCTGGAGAGAGGTCCCAGAGCTCTGACATCACCTGCTCACCACCCCCCATTCGATTCATGTCTCTGTACCTGACAAAGGCATCAAACTGGGACGAGACGGTGTGACCGAGACCAGGAGCCTTCCCAAACTGCAGCCGCACGAGCTGCTTGTTCTGCAGCTTGCTGATGATGCCGTCGTTGATGGGCAACCAGTCGATATTGGGAATGAGCAACTGGCTGGGCAGCAGGCAACACTCGTCTATCAGGGTATCATCTGGCTCTGTTATGTGATTTTCCTCACGACCTGCAAGGAAAACGAAGCAGAGAGAACCAGCGTGATCTTTACACTTCTCATTTCGAGATCAAGGGAACTGTGTGCAGTTTCCTCCTCCACCCGCCAACACAGCCCAGAAAACAATAAATCAGCAGCTGCACTTGCCCTTTCTGAACGTACAGACCCACTCAGTTACTCCCTGCAATTACTCCTTTCACGCCCAATTCACATCCAGGCAGGATTCTTTTGTTCAGGGAAACTGGCAAGCACTCACAGCACAGCCAGAGCTTGGTGAGGAGCCTGAAGAGGAGGGACATGCTGTCCTGGGTGTCTGAGGTTGCTGTGTAGACTGGGAGGCAGCTCGGCTTCAGCAGCCCCCAGATGCGGATCACCACCATCAGCTCCCTGAACATGCCCAGGGACGCGCCATCCCGCAGGAAGCTGTGCCCGGGGCGCACGGGGGAGCCCTGCAGAGAGAAAACAGCAGAGCGGGACTCACACAGCCTGCCAGAGCCACCGCTCTGTTTCCAGGCAGAACGCACCCCGAGGAAATCACTGCCAGAGGATGCTGTGCAGGTTGGAGGCACACAGAGGCTCATAAAAGGTTTGAACAAGTGAGTCAGCTCCTGAGCCCCCTGCTCTGGCATCCAGATGGACACAGAAAGGACCATTTTTGTATTTCTGCTGTTCCATACACTGGACAGGAGCACCAGGATCATGTGTGACTTGGCTAAAGGCACCCCAACAAAGCACAGAGGTTTTTTTGCTCCCTTGGGTCTGCTGCAGGACCCCAGGCTGTCTCTCACCTGGTTGGGGAGGCTGGCCAGCAGGTACAGCACGAAATCTCCCACCCACTGGATGAGCTGCTGCAGAGACTGCAACGTCGTCATCTCCAGAACAAATTCTTCCGTCTTCAGGTTAATCATCACCTTGTCAATGTCTGAAACAGAAGCAAGACATCTCTTGGCTCAGGAAGGTGGATCCAAACTTCACCCGCTGTCCCTGCAGTGCCAAGAGAGGTCACCCTCCTCGTCCTCAAACCCAGGGAGTTCCCATGAGACCGTGACACTTTGTACTGAACCTAAAAGGGGAACGATCTGACAGAAAACACTCAGAATGCAGTGCCAGATAGATATTACAAGCAAACAGTACCTATGTCTGTGATCTTGGAGCAGATCTCGGTGAGTCGGTCCCCGGGACTCTTGTCCGGGGTGTTCAGGAAGTGGGGGCGCAGCAGCGATTTCAAAGTGCAGCTGATGGCGATGAGGAACAGCTTCGCGTGGTAGTCACAGACCCGGGCTATCGTGCTGGAGGAGAGCTTGCAGAGAGACGCCTTCATGGCAACGATGCGCGTGGAGAGGACCTGATTGACAGAGACACCGCGAACAATACAGAAGTAAAGGCAGCATTAGAATAAGCTCATTAAAGCAAGCTGCTTTATTCTCTACTCTCCGTTTCTGCCCGATGAATGACAGGAATAGCGAATGTGTGCGTGTGAATACGGTGCTGTGCATGTACAAACAGTGCTGCTGTTCCCAGAACCTCTGCCAGAAATAGCCTTTACCACCTCAACAGATGTTTCCAACAGGCAGAGACTCACTCACGTTGCTGAAAATGAACACTGTGTAAATGGGGGCTATTTACACCTCGGGCACTGCTCAGTGGCGTGCTCAGAGCCAGCACAGCCAGCCAGTGCTGTCCACTTTCTGAGCACACCACTTACTGCTCCCTTGTCACTGAGACCCCCCCATGCCCACCCTCTGCTCCCAGTGACCTGCTGCAGGGCCGCGTTCTGGCGCATGTACTCTTCATGCAGCTTCTCCACCAGGTTCTGGACCATGTTGGGCTGGACATGGAGCAGGATGTCCCACCAGTCATAGCCAGTCACCATGCAGTACTCCAGCAGGAACAGGAGGTGACGCAGCGACATGTTCATGTCCAGCACATGGCCCATGGAGGGGGAGATGCGAAGCATGCTCAGCTGGAGAGAGGCAAAGGAAAAATCCCTGTCAAGAACTGGACTGAAAACATTCTGCAAAGCTGTAACCCAGCACAGGGCCAACTGCAGCTCACTCCTGACCCAGACACACAATTCCTGCAGTAATGGGATATGTCTCTTCTTGCTAACACGGATCACTCAGCTGGAAGTGACACTTCCAGCATTTTTCTGAGTAATCCATCACCACTTGGAGCCTGGACAAGAAGAACTTACACCCACTGCCAGTAACAAAGCACACCACCTTTCCGTGACTGTCAATGCCAGCCAAGGCCAGCGATGTCCAGGAGAGCTGCATGGCTTTGAAGTGAACCAGGGGCCCGGCCGTGCGCTGCCTTTTGATGGTCTGCTCATCCATGGGGCGCTGCGAGGAAGAGCCATAGAAGACGGCCATCATCTGCAAGGACAGGCGGTGCACGATGTGGACGCTGCCGTCGTGAAAAGCCAAAGCCAGGCCTGGGGAGAGAAGACGACTGAGGCTGAGCAAGCGCCTGCTCCCGGTACAACCCAGACCTGCCCAGAGGAGCCAAGGCCACTGAAAGCTCAGGTGGCCACGATGTGGCACCCGAAATGCCAGGGGCTTGCAGGCACTTTGGTATCTTGAGGCCATGTCAACATTTCAGAGCTGCGCCTCTTTCTATGGAAATGAAATGGATGGCCAGGAAGACTCCGTGCCTTTGGAAGTTTTCCCAGCAGCATTTCAAATGGTTTGTTATGAATTCTGACTTCAGCCACGGCTCAGGAGATTATGAAGGTAAAGTTACAGGCAGAAGTCACACTTTTAGGAGAAAGACAACAGAAACACCTTACCCAGTCCAGGGAAGAATTTGGTGTCATTTGCCACCTTCAGATCGGTGTTGGTCAGGGAAATTGGCAGCTTGGGCAGCGCCACAGCCGAAACGCGATCCAAGTCATTGGTGGCAGAAAGAATTCGCCACTTAAGTATCATGGGCTGCTTGTCTCCAACTTTGAAAAATAAGTAAATAAGTGAGACAATTCTCCCCAGAGACATCAGAAAATCCACCCCCTATTCCTACCCACACTCCCCAACCACGTGGGATTACGGATCAAGCACCGAGTGTTTGTACATTATACCACACCAGTACATTTCCCTCGTATTTCTCTGGTTTTTTTTCTGATCTCAGTAATTGTACAAACAACTTGTTTTGCTAAATCTCTTTTGATGGAAGGCTCTGCTGGTGGTGATTAAAAAAATCCTTATGTACAATAATCCTTTATATTTCACCAGAACAAACTGCATAAATTGGATTTCGGTATATCTTAAATCAAGTGGAGAAGACGTGCAGGCTGGAATAGCTCAATTAAACCAGCTTTGCTGCACGACCCTTATCCATTAGAAGGCTCCACTCACTCAGTTCCCAGCAGGAAGAGTGGCTTGCACAGCGTAACATAGAAAATGTCTTTTACTGAGTGAAAATTTCCACTTCCTGGAAACCAGCAATTTATTGCCTACGATGCAAACAGATGGAATAGAGCACGGACTGAGAGCACCTGAAAAACAAATACGGGATTCTGGATAATCCCACAGATGTGACAATGCATTGGAGAACCTGTCTTGCATTTCCCTTAGACCTTGCTCCTACTCATAAGGGTATCCAGCGCAGGAACTCACCCACGGGAGAGATCTGCTGGAAGATGTTATTGACCGGCAGGCCCTCCTTCCGCAGGGACCAGCACTCCACGATGCTGCTGTTCTGGTTGGAAGCACAAAGCAACACCTGCGAAAGAGAAACCCGCGCTGCAACCACACGCACAAACTTCACACCAGGGACAGACACGATCACGTCGCGTTTTGTGCCTCTCCCCTCTACTTTGAGGTTCCTTCTCCCAATCAGTTTATATTCCACCAGTGAAAAGCAGAGGATTGCATCAGCAACGTGTGAGGGTGAAGTCCCTATTTCCAGCTGGAAGAAAAGAGGCAGAACCCCACCGTGTGTGATCACAGCTGTGCCCCTCCACATCACGAACCATACAAGCCTGATGAGGAGCGGCTGAGGGAACTGGGCTTGTTTAGCCTGGAGAAGAGAAGGCTGAGGGGAGACCTCATCACCACCTACAACTGCCTCAAGGGAGGTTGTAGAGAGGTGGGTGCTGGGCTCTTCTCCCAGGTGATGGGGATAGAACAAGGGGAAATGGCACCAAGCTGTGCCAAGGGAGGTTCAGGTTAGAGATAAGGAGGAAGTTCTTTACTGAGAGGGTCGTCAGAAGCTGGCACAGGCTGCCCAGGGAGGTGGTGGAGTCACCATCCCTGGATGTATTTAAAGAGCGGGTAGATGAGGTACTTAGGGATATGGTTTAGGGGGTAGACAGGAGCGGTTGGACAGGATGATCTCTGAGGTCTTTTCCAACCGAGCCATTCTGTGATTCTGTGATCTCGGCTCTCACAAGCCTGTGACCTGATGGATCAACTAAAAGTGAAGGAAAGGGCAGGAACTGAACCAACTCTGAAGCCGGAGCAGACACTGTGCTTTCCAACAAGGCACTCTGCAGAGAGGAGAGGTCAGGCTCCACCGAGTCACTCGGCTTTCCAGGACTGCACTGTCAATGCCCTGGCAAATAAAGTTAAGCCGCTAAATTAAGTCATGCAGATCAAGAGCCCCAAGTGCTCTGGAGAGGAGGTGCTTTGAAGCCAAGACCTCGAGATGAAAGATTTCACATCCCAGAAGCTCCCCCACAGCCTGGCAGAGCTTCCTTAACGACCAGAAAATAAACAAAACAAAGCATAATGGGGCTAATGAAGCACAGGGCTTTGCAGGCCACTTCTGCCATGCAGAAAAGGACCTGGGGGTGTTGGTGGACAGCAGGGTGACCATGAGCCAGCAATGTGCCCTTGAGCCAA